GTGTGTGTGTGAGATTGTGTGTGCACCAGAACGTGTAGTATTTTTGTTGAGGGTGCAATTAGGTCTGTTTCTGCTTGTGTTCAATGAGGAATCCTAGAAATGAGGGAGTACAAACATAGTACAAACATATCCAGTATCTTGATTGGAGATCAGAATTAGTATTAGCAGTAGTAATTCAGATTGTTATTATTATTATTATTATTATTATGTCAATAATAGTAATTCAGATCATTAAATCATTAGTATCGGATCATTAGTAGTCATTTTATTGTTTTTATTGTTGTTGTTAATATTATTAATTAGATTTTATTGTTTATTATTATTATTATTATTATTATTATTAAACACAGTGTACCTCACATAATATTTTTTTCTTTGTTCTTTAGCCAAATGTTTCCGCTTGTGCTCAGTGATGAATCCTAGAAATGTGGGATTGGGAGTACAAATATATCCAGTATCTTGATTGGAGATCAGAATTATTATTATTATTAGTAGTAGTAGTAGTAATTCAGGTTATTTTTATTATTATTATTATTATTATTATTATTATTATTATTATTAAACACAGCGTATCTCACAATTTTTTTCTTTAGCCAAATAGTTTACATTGTTTTATACATTAGCATGTCAACTTGAAACAATATGTTTGATATGTTTGTTTGATACATATTTTTAACCTGGATACATTTTCTGTGACACAAAATTCATTTAATGTGGATTTAATGTCTGTACTCTATGTAAATTAACAATGGGTACTCTTTCTCCGCGCATCCATATATCTTTGTTCATTTATCAGTAAAAGTCCTGCTAGATTATGCCAAACACCTCACTATGCATTATTCAGTGGACTTTTGACAGCTCCAGAGATCACGTGAAAACTACAGATAGTGGCCAAATTTAAAATTGCATTACGGGTGTTGCCACAACCCTTTTTTCTGTTTTCTCTAGTCACATAGCATGGATTTCAAACTTTTTTGAGTGTGTTTCTACTCCATAGACAGCCAAGGTTTATTAAAAGCCCATCTTGTCAGGCAGAGACACATGACCTGGAGAGAAGAATGACGAGTGTGCTAATCAGCTCCAGCTGCATCCATGCTACGATTAAAGCGCAAACAAGAAACTGAACTCTTAAAGAGTGTATATCAGAGTAAGTTACGCCCTCGGTCCCGTTTACCCCCTTTCCCCCATAATGAGGGCACAAATTGGGTCCACTCTCTCATTGGCATTTACACAGGCACAGCAGTCTGATGAAGGGCTCTTTATGTGCTTCTGATGATCAGTTGACTCCCCCTCGGTGCCCGCATGTTCTCTTTCACTCAGTCGTGTTCTTCACTGAGTGAGTCTAATGTGTAAGCATGTGCTGGTTACCCACAGCAAACAGCGTTCTAGGATCTAGAAATGTCTGTGCCACGCTGGACTGGTGTTTACTGCCGAAAACCAGCCTGTTTGATAATGTGCTGAAGCCTGCCGCAGGGGCCCCACAACAATCAGACGTGCCTGCAGTGATGCAGAAGAGGGAATAGAAACAGAAAGGATTTCACAGTCTGTGTAATGTGCGTATAGTTTTAGGGGGAGATTTCATGTAGCTTGTACGTTTCATTTAAAAGAGATGGCTGTTGGTAAATGTAATGAATTAGATGTGTATTTTACAACTTGCCACTCATTTAATCATATTTGTAATGTATGCAAGCCTGTTTCCACCATGAAATAAAAATAAATAAATAAAAAAAAGATAATTCTTACTTTTTATGTCACAATGCAGGCTTTTTTTCTTGCAATTCAAAAAAATTTTTCTCAGAATTAAGCTTACATCTAGGAATTCTTAGTCTTTTCTCTGAATTCTGAGCTTACGTCTTGCAGTTCAGTTTTTTCACAATGGAATAAAAAAGTTAAAAAGCTAATTGTGACTTCTTTATATCTCACAATTCTGACTCATCTTCTCAGAATTGTGTTTATATCTTGCTTTTTCTGACAGCTTTTCTGACAGAATTTGTGAGGTATAAACTTATAAAAAAGTCTTGAGTTCTGGGGAAAAAAGTCACAATTACTTTTTTACTTTTTTAATTTTTTTATTCTGTTTTGGAAACAAGCTTAAATAGTAATGTATGCATGTAAGAAGCCGGTGTTTTTTTTTATTACTGCTTATATTTAATAACTATAGTTTATAATCTATCATTTTGTATAGACTTAATAAGACAAATATTCTTATACTTTGGTTTGCATCCATCAAATAAAAGCCAAATAAATTCTAAATAAGAAAGAAAATAATTAGCTATAATTAGAAAAGCTACCATTCATTAATAGTGGATTTTACTATGAATTAAATACTTTACAAATGACTGGTAATTCATAAAATTATAGAATTAAATGAATTTATTACATTTTACTGTAAATACAATACAAATTAATAGTATTATATAATAATTACAATTATGTATAATAAGTATATTATTTAAGTGTTTACCTTATTGGATTTTAATATATATTAAATATTTTATAAATAAATAGTAGTTCATATAATTCTATAATTAAATATTTTAATTAATTGTATTTTACTGTAAAAAAATACTTCACAAATTTATTAGCACTTTAATAATATAATTAATTATAGGAAGTGCTATTTATTTGTGAAGTATTTTATTTACAGTAAAATCCAGTAAATTAAGTATTTTAATAATATAATTTAATTTACTGGATTTGACCAATTTACTAATTATCTATATTTATAGATTTTTTTTTAGATGGATGGATGGATGTATGGATAGGTAGATAGATAGATAGATAGATAGAGTATAGAGTACTTTGTTATACAAGCTGTACACTCACTACTTTACATTGTAGCAAAGTGTCATTTCTTCAGTTGTCACATGAAAAGATATAATAAAATATTTACAAAAATGTGAGGGGTGTACTCACTTCTGTGAGATACTGTAGATAGATAGATAGATATATAGATAGATAGACAGAGAACTGTGATGTAAAAGAAATAAGATTCTGATCACACTGTCTTGCCCCTAGTGTGTGACATCATTATTTATTCGGCGCTTAAGACCAAGAGCAGAGTTTCCAGCGGAAGCGTATCACTGCTGGCTCTCTCCCTCACATGCAGATTCACAAACAAACACACGCCACCTGCGCGCCACAGCAACACATTCCCCGGTCCAGGTGTGGGCCCTACCTCTGATTACTCCAGCACCGCGCGGCATCATTTAAGCGCTGTTTATTTGCACATGCCCATGTGCGAGCAGCTTTTGGCTCTGCCACACTGTGTGCCTGTGCTATCTGCTGGGCACACGAGGAAAAGCAGAGTCACCGTCTCTTCCCTGGCACGCTTCTTTCTCTTTGAGCCAGTAGAACAGGATTTACGAGCACCTGTCACAGGGGTATGTGCCTCCTCTCCTCCCCCACCAGCGCAAATCATCAGGGGGAATGTGGCCACCCAGTCCCTGCTATCGCTTTAGCACCGTACAGTGTGCGTGTTTGAGATCTTCTGTATACACACCAGATAATAACTGAAAAATTATGGACACCACCATTCTGCATCTGATGTATGTTTAAAACACTGCATATATCTCAGCAGTTATGAGTCCCTGCTGTCCGGGACTGTGTACGCGATGGACAAAGTTTAACAACATGTAACATCTACAACATATACAATACAAATCATGCTGAGAATAACTCTCCACAAGGTGCCAAAACACAATCTTTGGCCATTATGTCCACAAATATTTTATTATGTACTTGGAAAAGAAAAAGAAAAAACATTTTACCCCACTGGATCCTTCACTTTAGTCATCTAATAAAGTGGGTCTTTTTTTACAAGAAAGCATAAAACATGGTTTTATTTTTCCCAAAACTGATAGAATTGTATCTCTGCATTTTCAAGCAGATTGTTTTGAGCAGTGTGTGAATTATACAGTAATTTTTAGGGAGGTTGACATTTCCACAGGAAATGTTCAGGCTGCACATAACTAAACATCAACTCATATTAAAGATATTTGTAACAACATAGAAACATTTTTGTGGTATATTTGTAATATGCAAGTCTTTTTCAAGTCATAATGACAGTTTTTGTCAATATTCCATGCAATAATTATCCTAATGAAAAATACTCAGGAACATGAGTGATTTGTTGAAGGTTACTACTTCAGACAAAGACAATATATGTTTGTGAGTATTTATTGACTGCAAAAATTTTTAATGTTTAATGTAAAAGAAGTATCTTATTTTCAACAAGACTGCATTTATTCCAATGCATCAAAAAAAAAAAAAAAAGAAATATTGAAAAATTTTCAGTGTCACATGATCCTTCAGAATCATTCTAATATGCTGATTCGTTGCTCAAGAAACATTTATTATTATTATAAATGTTGAAAACAGTTGTCTGGCTTAATATTTTTGTGGAAACTGTTATATTTTTCATGACTCCAGAACAGAAATGATGAATAGAAAGTAAAAAGAAAATGACAATTATATTTGAAATAGGAATCTTTTGTAATAATGTAAAAGTCTTTACTGTCACTTTTGATCGTTTAATGCAGCCTTATGGAATAAAACGTTTTAAAAAAAGAAAGAAAAATAATTCTTACTGTCTCCAAGCTGTCATGTGTCTTTTCTATTTTATAATTTACTTTAAAATCCCATTTTATAATTTACTTTAAAATCCCATCTTATAATTTACTTTAAATGAAACAGAACCATTTTCCCATTTTTCCTAAAGCTGAAACATTGTTTAGAAGCTCAGATGATTATGAATCATCTTAAATTGCAAACATTTCATTTATATTTAAAATAATTCAACACCTTCAGGTAACTAGTGAGATCTTGAGATTAACACACTTTTTACAGCAGTACAGTGAATCATTTAAAATCTTTAATGACTTCAAGGACTGCGGTGATCCTGCCTAAGAGTGTGAGTCTTGTTTAATGTTGGTATTTGCTTCATCTTTCTCTCTCTCTCGCTCTCTGTGTGTGTGTGTGTGTGTGTGTTTTGAATGCAGCAGAGCTCCAGAGGGAGGGAAGCATCGAGACGCTCAGCAATAGTTCTGGCTCCACCAGTGGCAGCATTCCCCGAAACTTCGAGGGCTACCGGTCCCCTCTCCCCACCAATGAGAGCCAGCCCCTCAGCCTCTACCCCACCGCCTTCCCCTAAAACCAGCCGTCCTGCCCCAAAGAAAAGTTCGCTGTCGCCTTTGGACAATCTTGACAGTACAACCACAACACATCAACACAACTCCATCCTGCTCCGCTATATCTTTTCTCTGTTCTTTTTCCTTTAATCAAACCTGGCATGCAGGAAAACCCTGTTCAATCAGGCCCTGCGTTACCATCCTTTGTCATTCACTTCCCTTGTAGATTAATGTTAACATTGCCTCCACCTGAGAGAGAGAAAGAGAGTGCATGGATATTAACCTTGACGGGTCGGATGAACTGTAAAAGGGATCCGTTGGAGTTGCCACTTTTCTCAAAGATGTGTCATATTACCAATATCATTATCAATCGAACTTCCAGTGCGCTTCTTTATTGAATGCGTGCATGTGTGTGAGAGTGTGTGCTCATCAAATACGTGTCCTGATTAGCTCTCGGTAGTTGAGTTTAGGTTTGAGCTCACAAAGCGCTATGCTGGTTTTCGATCACACATCAGTAGACAGTGTTTGATATATTTTAGTAGACATGTACTGTAGTTCACATTTGAATTGATTTGACTTTTATAGGTAATCAAACATGCTCATGTTTACAACTGAATCTTGTTACATTATAGTGTTTATGATTCTGCACATTTTTCTGTATATTTGATTTAAATTTGTTTTTTTTTAATTGTTTTTAACAAGAGTCAGTTTCTTGGATTCAATTTAATTTGCTTTATAAAGTCAGTGGATTCAAATCATTTAAATTCCTTTCAATTTATGCTTTCTTTATTCTTTCAAAAAGGGAGTTTTGTGTTCTAATGTTTCCTTGTTTGATTCACTTTTTTTCCTTGTTTTATAGGCTGATATTTAGCAGTGGCGCTCTCAACGATCCACAGCAAACTTCATTCAGCTGAGGCGATTGATTTTGACACTACCCAAATGTTAAAAAAGTAGTTCCATCATTATCATTATCGTCATCAATATATCATTCTGTATTAGCCTGTTTATTTAACTATTTTAAATGGCTTTGTTTGAAGAATGTATTTTAGCTTTGCTTGACTGGATGTAATGTTTTACACACACACACACAACACACAGTTATTGATAAATACCAATTAAACAAGAAATGTGAATACATGGTCCTAATGATCAGCTTGTCAAAAAGCTTAAAGAGCCCGCTGTTGGCTGGCAGTTCTGTGCATGTTGAAAGCCTCAGTAGCTGGAGAGGAAACATGAAGAGTTTGTTCACCGTAATTTATAACGCCATTCAAGTTGGCATGACTTTATGTCTGAATGCAGTGCACATGCTTTGTATGGACTATATTTTTTGTAATAATACTTACGCAATGTGATCTTGAAATAGGAATTTATGCAAGTGAATTTAACAAGTCTTCTATACATTTGTGTGTTTGCTTAATACTGCATATGCATTCTGACTTCCTTAGTTTGTTGTTTTGCTTACCTTGCTCTCTCCTGAATATATTTGTTATACAAAAAAATAAATAAACGCATTTGAATGACGAGGTAAAAATCTGGGCCTGAGGCTACAAATCTCAATCACTGCCTTTGTTTAGGGAACTGTTTTTTATAATCATGAATCTTCCACAAGCTTCAGGACACAGGCTGAGATTTCTTCCATCGCTGCTTTAATTGCATGTGTGTAAGTTTGTGTTATGATATTATAATGAAAGGTTTATTTGCGATTATAGTGAGCAGCGGAGTTTTCCAGCACAACTTCACCAGGAATTTATCAACTCTAAAAATGTTCTCTTAAAATATTGAACGTGTGAAATTAATAGTTTAAACATCACTGAGTAATTATATTTAACTTTGCTATCAAATTGGCAACAATATATAATAACAGGTAACTGTCATTTTTTTTATAAAAAAAAAATTCTTATGCAACTTGACCTGATGCAGTAGACAAGATAGTATCAAAAAAGCCACTGTTTTGTCATCATAGTGATCTTTATTGTACTGAGTCAAACAAGCAGAGAGATTTTTTTATGCAAAGCAAAAGGGTTTTTTCACTTTTCCATCTTCGCCAGCATTTTCAGGCATATTCTCATCAAAAACACACACACGCACACAATCACCCTTATACAGTAATGCTTCCCACAGTGTCTCAAAGGCGACGTGAAGCAGTCGGTGTGGAGGACAGTGGCAGAGCTCACACTCTCCGTCTGGGAAGGTCAGCCCTCGTTCCTCTCTGTCTCCCTCCAGACCACCAGTGCCACCTTATCACCGGAGCGACAGCCTATAAATACCAACAGAAGATAGCAAGCATTTCAGTGAGGAGTGTCAGAGGTTTCCACCTCTCTGCGGGGTCAGAAGGCTGCTGTGCAAATTTGTACATTTAGTTAAAGAAGCATTAATCTGTAAACAGTCTGCCGTTTAGTCGCTGTGGCACTGATACACAATCTACCACGAGTCAATCTGTCAAGGCTTGTTGGCAATCCATGTAAGATTTTGTGGCTGTTTGTTCCAAAACACTCCTCGAATCCTCCACACTCCACGTATCCCAATGGGAACGGACTCCATTCAGTAACAGGCTGTTTTCTGGCACGGCTGCAGGTCTCTCCCCCCTTCGAAGGTCATGCATCCCTTGCCTACTAACTAAACTAATGGCTGCTCTTCTTGAACCATAAACAGAAAACATAAGATGTCTTTAAAGGGGGAACAATTAGAGAACAAGAACCTCAACCACCTTAGAATAAAGTATATTAGAGTATTTTACTGTTTCTTGTAGGTATTTTTTCTTAACACCTTATCAAAAAATCCAGTAATCTGCATGAAGATGTGCAAATAAAAGCTTGTACTTTGTTTGCTGATTTTATTTGCATTATGCATGTTTTTAGAGTTTAGTGGACGTTTTTATTAAAAATAAAAAAAGACATAAAAAAAAAAACGTTATTTATATACATCATTCAAGTAGCAAGTGTCTCTCACTATATTTTGTTAGGTTTTTCAGTAGAGAACAATCTTAGTCTTTTGTACAAACCTGATATTTATACAAATATCTTTTATTCAATAAACAGAGCTTATCTTAAACACCTTGTAGTGTCATAAACTTAAACACAAGGCTTGTAATATTAAATTAAATTGTAAAACTGTCAACCCTGTTACCCTTTTGCTTTTGAAAAGGCTATATAGCCTGTCTATATCCCGACATGTTATTTACATTGCACAATCCCACTCATTATATTTTAAAGACACTCTTTGTCTGAAATAAATGTTGAAGAAATTCACTTTACAAATGCTTTTGTGAAAATGAAAAAAAAATGATGCAAATTATTCGCGCGGTTCGAGTGAGCTATTGTTCTCCACATAATTGATTTGCTGTATTCTACATAGGCCTATAGGCCATACATATTTACATACACGGGAAAAAAACTACGTGTTTACAGGGGCTGGTTGATTAGAGGTTGTCTGTTGCCTTCCAGTAAACCGTAAACAGTATCATTTGTAATCGCTTCGTGTTGTAATCGCCTATGTTACTTGTCAATCAGACGAGGCGTGTAAAGCACTCATCTCCACAACTGTTTGAGAGACAGTAAACTGGATCATATCTGACAGCTCCTGGAGGATTAAAGGGGTCAGTGTTGACATTAATGTGTGACATACACTATTTTTCAATTAGCTGCTGAATAGCCTCGATTAGATCAACTTATCTTCAGGATCCACACACCTGGACGCGCATCTCATCTCATCAGCGTTTGCTACTCACAGACTCAACGCTAACAGATACAGTGAGAACAATCTTCCTTTATCTTGAAGTCATTCTCATTTAATTGATTGTGAAAGGGTAGTTGTTTTATATTATTGATGTTACAAC